GATTTTTGGTGCTAGTTTAGGGGTTAAAGCATAGGTTCCAAATTTACTTGGTCTATTGCCCCCTTTTCAGGAAAAACACAAAAGTACTCATCGCCCCTGTACTGTAGCCCACAATCCAGGCTCAGTCTGCTTTTGCAGCCCCCTGAATTGTCCCAGTGCCCTCAGAGGGTGGGACTGCCACTTTGGGAAGTTAAATGGCTGTAGGGAAGTCCTCTCCATAACCGCCCTCGTGTCTCCTTGGTTGAATTCTCTGTGGGCACTCACACCCCAGCCCCACTCCTTTGTCATCATCCTCATCGGATCCTGAAGGAGGGAGATCAAGGGACAGGAGCTGTCTGCCACGTTCATCCTCCACACCACCTGCTCACTGCCTTTTCTTCCTTCCTTCCTTCTTTTTGAAAATTTTTGGTTAGGACATTTTCTCCATGTACAGACAGGCTACTATCACAAATACCCACCTCTTTGTCACCTCCTTTTGACTGATGTTAGTAATTTGCTATACTTGTTGCATCTTTTTTTTTTTTTTTGCTGATCCATTTTTTTAAGTAAGTCATCAATCTCAGGGCATTTTGCCTCTATAGATTCCCAAATGCCTCTTTTTAAAAAATACTTTTCCCTTGAGCATCATACCAATATCGCACTTAACAGAGCCTGGCTGATCCTCAGCTGGGGCAGGACAGGGCAGTCTTGCGGTCATGGGCAGATGTGACGTGCAGCCTGTTAGGCAGGATGGAAAACCTGAGAAGGGTCACTAAATAGGTCGTGATTTACCTGTCCTCTGGAACACTGGCATACTGAACATGACAGTCTGTTTCTGTATTTTTTGACTTGGAAAGATATCTATAGCATTGCTAATTTTCTTCACAAGAAGCAAGTCTCACAATCCGGTGTGCGCCGTGGCCCAGTTAGGACTGCTGGGAGACCTGCATGGTGTGATCCCTGAAGAAGAATTAAGGATGGGTTCTCATCACTGATCTGCACGGATGCGCAGCACCTGATCCTGGGTGGCAGGATTAAGGACACCATGTTTTATGCCCCATCGTTGTCAGCACCATTTCTCTGTTTGGGTTTTCACCTGTGAGCAAACCGTAGGATGTTGCTCCTCCCAGGGAAGGGGGACCCCCATGGACATGTGTTCCCGGACTAAGGGCTTTTAGCACGCAACGTGATGTTATCGAGGTGACAACCACTAACACATGGTCAGGCCACCAGGGTTTTCGTAACAACGCTGGAAAAACTGTCTGTTTTTGTTGTTCATAAGACTTCGTTGTTCATAAGAAGGTGCCTCTGGGACCGGGCTTGCCCTGGATATTTGAAGCCTTCGCAGTGCCAAAGGCACAGAGGATACCCGGGGTGAAAATGAGAGGTAAAGGATGAGAAATCACAGAGCTGCTTCATGTGACTTGGAGGGGGCAGCTTTTAAAGCAGAAAACAAAATGGCCTTTTCAAATAATCATAACAAAAATTCTGCCCATCTCTGCTACCCTTCTCTGGTCATTCACCCAGTGAAGGTGGAGAAAAACTCACTGTGACTTGCTAACTCACTAAAGTGGGTATTCTTGTTGGTTTTGATTTTTTTTTTGGCCTGGTGTGGTTTTGTTTGACTGCTTAGGAAACACCTTCGGAAGGCTGCCTCCCGTGCCATTGCTGTACCAGCGGTGAAGGCTCCCTGGGAGTGCAGCTGTGCAGCGCTTGGCCGAAAGGCGGCGAAAGACCTGAACCAAAAGGTCTGCTGCTGTAACAATTACAGCCCCCAAATAATAATAAAACAACCCCTCTGAGGAAGTTCTACTCTGTAACATGTTGGGGGGGGGTGTCACTCTGAGCTGAAAATAGTCTCAACAGACGGCAGCTAGCAACAGTAGGCATACTGATAGGGTGGGTTGGATTGTTTTACACAAATGAAGGGAAAAAAGATTTCTTCAGCAGCTAAGATGAGCCGAGCATGCCAGATAGTGGTGAAAAGTATCCTGCCAAAAAATAAATGGACACATTGTTGCCTCAAAAAATCCAATCAGACACCACCGCCATCCCCTGTGTCGCTTGCTACTAAGAGGCAGACCTTGCTGGTGGAGGGCTTCCGTGGATGCTGGTGGGTGAGCCGTCTCATGAGGGTCAGCATTCAGCAGCAAAGACCGCGTGCGAGGCGGGCCTGTCTGGATCACGGACATTTCCACCGATTAATTTGAAGTTGTTTTGAACTGGTTGGTCTCCCTATCAGGTGCCCCAGTTATGCAAGGGAGCTTCCAAAACCATGGGAAAATGGGATACACAGATGATGGGATTTCTCCATGAGCTTTTTGAAGCCTTCACCTATATATCCACACATGTTTGAAAGTGTTTCCACCTGCAAAAGGAAGCAGCTAGATACAGACACAAATTATGTAAGATGGGTGCAAACCCAGAGGCAATCGCTGCCCTGGGAAATAGGCATTCTGCTCATTCCAGGTCCCTGGGGCCCAGGCTGTGCAGCCTCAGGACAGAACCACCGCCCCGCCACGTGGCTGTCCACCACTGGCCCCTGCTAGCCCTTGCAGCCTTCGTGTCCAGTCCCCCACCCCCGGGCTGATTTGCCATGGACCTAGCCTACCCAGTGTGTGCTGTTTCCCCAGCCCCTCAAACTGGGAGGATCTGCTTCCGTCAGCAATGTTGATGGTCTGTGTCCCTCTCGTCCCCAGACCATCCTCTGCAAATAGCATCAGTAGCAGCGCATCTTCGAATCACAGTGGCTACACTCCAGATCCCCAGCTGGCTCCCGCCGGAGGTGACCTCGCCAGCCGACTGTCCAGTGATGAGGGAGAGATGGACGGGCCAGAGGAAGCCGAGAAGCTGGACTGCCAGTTCTCTACACACCACCCCAGACCTCTTGCGGTAGGCCTCCCGTCTCCACACCGCTCTGCCTGCTTCTCCTGCCCCGAGTGGGGCAGGCTGGTGGTGGTGGGGGGTGTTCATGGTTGCTTATGGTGGTCCAATAAACACCTGAGTGTGTGGGGGCCACCACGAAGTGAGGATGCTGGGAAGTGGTGTGTGTCTCAGTGCACTTGGGAGCTGACCTTCTGGCCTGACCCTCTGAAACAGAGCCTCTGATTTCAGGCATCATCGTCTGGCTCTGGGAACTGCCTGTCTGAGCAGTGTGCCAGGTGCCAGCGCTGACTGGTGCTATGTTTTAATTGTGATTCGTGTGACCATATGGCACCAGAAGTAGTGAGTGAGTGTGTGTGTGTGTGTGTGTGTGTGTGTGTCTTGTGTGTGTATGAGAGGGGCTAGTGAAGTGTGTAGTGGGGGGGGATTGCTTTATGTCAGCATGAGAGCTGATTAACCAAAAGGGTCCTTGCTTCCATTGCTTGAGCAATTCAGAAGGTCGTTGACAGCAAAGGGGGACATGCAGGAGGCCCATGTGGGCTCTGGAGAAGGGACTGCCTTGAACTGCCCTCACCACACGAGCTCACGCAGGCCCGAGCTTTGCCGGGCTCGCCTACACTGCCCCTCAGTCACATGGGTTGTGTGAATGAAACTTGCATCAGGTTAGCCTAAGCGCCTCCTCCCTTTTATCTGTGTGAAGAAGCTAAATTCACGCTCTGCTTCTGGGGACAGGGGTTACCCGGGGCTCACCCACAGCATTCGCCTCTGCCCTTTGACCAGCAGACACAGTCAGGGACGGTGAGGGTGCCTTTGCCTCCCAGTAATAGGAAACGCAACCCAAGTGGCTTCCGGGCTGAGGCCATTCATAAGCTCACATCCCCAGAAGCCAAGAGCTAGGTGGGCCCAGCTAGGTTGGCTCTACAACCCTGGTGTCAAAGGAGAGTGATGGGAGCCTTGCCTTTCCTGCGTGGTCTCACTGCCCCTGCAACAGCTCCAGCCCCTCATTGCCACCCAGGACTAGTCTCAGCAAGATGGTACGAAAATGGAACTTGATACAGAGGTACCAACAAGGAAAAGGTACCTCCGGCATCCCAGACTCTTGAGTACCTCAAGACTTTTGTCCCACTGAAAGCTGCCAGGCCACCGTGGATTAGCTCAGCTCTGGGCCTGGGGGAGGCACCTGTGCCCATCATTTAAAATGGAAAAGCCAGAGACTTGTCCCTTTGCTTTGCCCCTTCTCTCATGACCTGTTGGTGCACTAAATCGTATTTTGCGAGGGGCACTTACTTGGGTTGTCATTCGCAGTTGGAATAGAGAAGACATGTTGGCACGGCGCCCACCTGCTGAGGGAGGGGCCAGCTCCCGTGCTGGAGCGGTGCCTTGGGCGGGTGGCTTCCTTGCTTGGCCAGGACACACTTAATGGGAAGCTAACCCTTAATGCGAAGGTGCAGGAACAGGCTGGATTGGATGGGTGGCAAGACCTTTATGTATCACACACACACACCAAAGCACAAGCGGAAACAGAACAAAGGGGTGATTCTTTCTTACATTCCCTCCCGAAAGCTCTTCCGGAAGGCTGGTTCCCGGAAGGGTTTATGGAATGAGTGCCAGTCCAGCACCGTGTCTGGGATGCTGTGCCAGGGAGCTGCCAGGAGGCCTGAGAGAGGGAGAGAAGCTGCCCTGGAGTTATTCAAGTTATAGAGCCATTTGCAGATTCACCTGAACCCTCAGCATCGTGTAGCCTTCTCAGAGGCCCCTTCTCACGGGTCTGTCTACTGGCCTTCGGTTGTCATAGCATCATAACCTAACACTGCCTTATCAAACATCCGGATATTTGTATTTTCACCATGGGTTTGGAGTGTTGTGCTCCTGGTGCCCGTGGTGTGGGGCCATTTCTTTAGCCCACACCTCTAGTATCATCTCTCCACGAGGAGGAGGAGGGGGAGGAGAATAAGGCCTTCTTGAATGTATCGTCAGGCAGCATCTCTAACGGGAACCCGCCAGGCAGTGTGTAGAGAATAGAGGAGGCGGTGGGTGTGCTGTGGGAGTCAGGGAGAAGTCAGGGCAGCCTCCCGAGTTCCAGAGCAGAAAGGCCCCATCGCGTTCTCTTGGCTGTGGTCTTTAAGGCAGCAGGGCACCAGGCCTTTCTTGCTAGGTGCCCACCAAATGGGTTCCAGCTGCCAATCCTTAGGTTAACCTCCAGTTGCACACCACTTGCCCCCCAGGAGCCTTTATCAGGATGAAGGTCATAAGCCATGAGAGTCTTCATCAGACCACAGACCTGGGATAGGCAGGGAGGAGAGAGGGGAGGAGACAGCAGGCAGAGGGACCAGCGTGAGCAGACTTGGGGCCGACCATGTTTCCCGAAGCCTGAAAGAGCTGATGGGAGGAGGGGACGAGGTGTGGGGCCTGGGAGAGGAAGGTGCTTTGCCCTGTTGGAAGTGAATGGTTCTGTCAATAGCAGGCAGGAAATGTGTGCCCAGTTGGCAGAAGACCTTAAACACAAAGCAAGCGGCTCCCGTGGCCCCATGAAGAGCAGGGGGCCTCAGTGTCCCAGGAGAGTGTGATGAGCTGATGAAATCACCCAGGCTGCGAGTGGTCGGGAGTTTTGGTTTTTTTATTTTGTTTGTTTGTTTGTTTGTTTGGGGTGGGGGTGGGGGTTTGTTTTGTTAACCTAAAATGCTAGCTCTCTCCAGAATTTAGACCTCAGTGCCCCCCGAAAATCGCATGCAGCTCTGGGATGATAACATGGATAACGACGGTCTGCAGAAAATCTAGAGCTCAGACAGAAGCCCCACAGAAATACTTTGGGCTTTCGTGCTATTTCACTTCTTCAGTTTTGAGTAGAATTGTGCCCCAGTGTGTTTTTATGCAAATGCTATCTTCTCGGCATGCTCTGTATTAGCTCATGAACCCGTAATCACAATTAAAATGTTTTTTTGCCCCTCACAGTTTTGCTCATTCGGGAGCCGCCTCATGGGACGAGGGTACTATGTGTTTGACCGAAGATGGGATCGCTTTCGATTCGCACTCAACTCCATGGTAGAGAAGCACTTGAGCTCGCAGCTGTGGAAGTAAGTGAGCAGGAGTGGGCAGCGGGTGTGCCCGGCTCGGGGATGCCCCCATCTTATCTTGGGCTGGACTTGCTCAGTAGATGTCTGGGGGCTGGCTTTTCCCCAGGCAAAAACATGATTCTGAAGTCAGGATTCCATGAGGGATCCTGAAGCGCTTTCAGCGCTCTGAAAACTTGATGATGAGTTCTCTGGGGTTCGTTTGTTTTTGGTGAGGGCGGGGGTGGGGGCAGTGGGGAGCAGGTCCTTTGGGCCTTGGTTATCTTCTACATTTGACCTTCGATAAGATCTGGTCTACTTCAGGGTGTGTTCAGGCTCTTTTTTATTGGGGCTCATAGCATGGAAGGGTAGGAATACTTTGCTTCTGTTGTGTGTTCTGTTAGCTGTACGGACACTCGCCGCCACGCTGTGTCCTGATAGCTGCGTGATTTGACGTCTGGGGACAAGTGTGTGTGGGTGCCAGCAGGGCAGGTCCTGAGCCCAGACACTGCAAAGTTGGGAAAGTTTGTCTTTGGCCCTTCCCACCTCACTAACCACGCCTCTTCTCCCTCTGCTCCTCCCTCCTCCTACCCCCCACCCCAGCTGAGCTCCCTTTCCTGATGGTCCCTTGATTCTCCTCCCTTGCATGTTCACTGGGGGCCCAGGAATAATGGAAGGAGACCCTCCTTGCTCGATCCAATGCTGTAGAAAGTCATGCCTGGTGGGGCGGGGCCCTCCCCTCCCCCCTCCTCCCCTCCCTCAAAATCAGCAGCTGCCTTTCCCACACTTGATGATAGTGGAAGGCCAGCCTTGTGGGGACCCACCCACCCCTAGAAAGGATATCACAATCCTTTAGCATGATGGATGAGTCACTTCAGCCCAGGCCCCAATGGTCCAGGTGACTGACACACACACACACACACACACACACACACACACACACACACACACACACCAGATGAGGCAAGGGAGACCTTCCCAAGTAACTGGAGGGTCCTGAGGTGCAGTATTCAAAAGTTGCCCTACCCCCCAGGCAGCTAGGGCACCCCAGTCCCTTGGCATCCCGATTCCTCAGGGCTTCCTGAGATGAATATTTTCTAGAGGGAAACGCAAAAGCTGACGCACAGTATAAAGTCGGAAAGGGCCACGAGAGAAGCTTTGTGTTCCTTCCCATCCGAGCGACAGCCCCGTGCCTGTAGGAGGCGCCCTCGGTGTTCTCGGGTCGCTGTGTTGTGTGCGAGCTGGCCGTGCTGCAGGACTGTGTTGATGTGTCTCTCCTCCCTGGTGGCCTGTCAGCTCAAGCTCCGTGTTCCTTTCCTCCTCAGGCACAGAAGCCCGAGCCACAGGGCACCAGGTCCCTCCCCCCTTTTCAGGACTTGCTTAACCAATCTGCTGTCACTGAGCAACATTGGGGCTGCCTGGGTGTCCACCCTGGAGAGCGTAGCGCCGCGCTGCCCTCTCAGCCTCGCTGCCCAAACCCCAGGCCCCAACGGGCCTGAACCCGGAGGCCTGGCAGCCGATGGGGGCATGGAAGACATTAGGAAGAAAAGGAACGGCCAAGACTCTTTTTTCTTTAACAAGCATTTAACTCTGCATCAGGAGACGCCAACACAGTATTCTCTTTCCACCAGGTCAGCATCCGGACCTCCGTGCCAGCTGGCAGGGGCGGAGGGACGCTGTCAGTCATTTATCCGCATTTATGGGCTTTTGTGTGGGACCCCCACCCCTAGGCCAGCACGCTCACTTCACCTGGGGCCCAGCCCACCAGGCAAAGCAGAAAGGCAATGCTGTAGGAGGGTGGGGCATTCCTGGGAACAGTGGGCTAGCCCCATGCCCCTCCCCTGCCCCCCAAGACCCACTTGTGAGTGAGGGAAGAGAAAGGAGAGGACAGAGAGAATGCTGAAAACTAGTCCCTGCCCCTGTGCTGGGTGTCGGCCACATGAAGATGGGGACTTCAGCCCACTTCCAAAGTGGAGGTGTGGATTTGTATTGTGTCCTTGGAAGGTCACAGAGTGAGGCAATCCGAGCAGATCTGAAGTTAGGTTGGGGTCCCCTCCACCCCAAAGCAGCCATCTGCTCTTTGCAAATAACTTGATAGTACAAGAGAAGGCCAGCTCCCCCTCCCCCACCGGCTTCTGCATTTCTCCCCAGGCCCTAGCTGGTAAGGTTGCCTCTGCCTTCAGAGCAAGGCCTCAGCCTGAAGAGGAGCCTAATGACGCTGCCCTGAAATGCTCCCCGGCCCTGTTAGGAGGGGGTGTGCAGAGCCAGACAGTTCTGAGGATGTGTTTAGACTTAAGTCCGATGGCATGGGAGTCCTTGCCCCGCATGCAAAGCCCCTGGTGGCTGGTTTGGTGTGTGGCTGCTGAGAAATCACCTGCTCGCCCGCCCATCCATCCATCTGTATCCATCCATCCATCCATCTGCCCTTGCATCATTGCAACAGAACGTCGAGAGCACCATGTGCCGTCTCGTTTATATCATTTGATCTTGAGAGCAAGTAAAGTCCTAAAATGCCATCAGGGTCATTCATCCTGGGCATCTTTTGTCTGACAGTTCCTAGGAAGCTGGGTTTCTAAAGGGTTCTACAGAACTCACCCTGAAGACAGAAGCCTGATGCCCACCCCGACCCCCACGCAGTGGCAGGTGGTGGGGAAACAGGAAAGAGCCTCGTCAGAGAGAGGAGGGTAGTGCCCTAGGAGGGGCATGTACTCTTGGGGGCTCCCTCCAGAGTCCCCTGGCATGGCAGAGAAAGGCCTTTTCTAATGGCAGAGAAAGGCCTCCCCCAGACCAGCTCCTCTCCACCCCTTCAAGCACAACTTTTAAGGAGGAGGAGCTAGCTGCTTATAGCTGAGGATTCCCCATCCACCCCGAAGGTTATTTCCACGGGGACAGAGGAAGGGGAAAGGGGTCAACATGGGAAAGAACTGGCTTAAAGACATTCACTTGGCTCCCTGGATTAGTGCCCTTTTTTTTTTTTTTTTACAAAACCTGAGCACACACTGTGCCTCGGCCCAGCCCCTAGATGGCAGCAGCACTGACCTGGGCCATGCTTCGGAACTGAAAGCTGCTTCCAGCACAAATCAAAAGGAGTTGGCAGGGAGGCCCCCGAGGGACCAAGCCGCTGCAGGTGTGGGAGGCAGGGTGTCTGCCCTAATACTCTCTCCACCCTCCCTGAAGATCCAAGATGTAAACAATGTGGCCACTGCCTCTATCCACGTTTCTCTTCCTGCCCATACCCTGGTTGACCTCCAGGACAAACCAGAGCCTCCTCTCTGCACACCTGCAGGTCCCTGCCCTCTCACCCCTTCCTTCCTCGAGCCTGGGGAAGAGCAGCCCGCCCCTGGGACAGCTTCTCTGGGAGAGAGCTGACGGGAATGGGAGCAGAGTAGGGAGCAAAAATAAATCCGTCTGGATCTGGTGAGGGACATGGGGTCCTTATCCTTTCCCGAGCCCTGGAGTCCCCACCACCCTGCAGCCATCCCATGGGGGAGTTAGGGGTGGGCAGCAAGCCCACATGGAAACGGAAGCCAGAGGGCGCTGGCCTTTGAGGGTGGCTGTGCCCATCTGAGAGAGGAGCGCAGGAGGGCGGGGATCTAGAGGACACGAGGGACCCTGAGGGCAGGTGGGTAGAGGCTGCTGCCAGGAAGAGAGAGACTGGCAGTGCACCTGTGCAGGTGACACAGGCCTCCCCCACACTTCTTCAAGCCTGGTGGACCTAAAACTGCCCATGCAGCCACCACCTCCATCCCTGCCAACGCCAGGGGCTGCAGGGGCGGGTCTTCCCTGGGGACGTGCCTGTCCTGCATAGCATTTGCCTCCCACGCGTGACCCCACCGCGGCCATCCAGCGTCCGGGCGAGGTGGCGGGGTGTTGCAATGGGGGCGCCATACGGAAGGGCCATCGTCCCGACTCTGCCATCCTCCAAGGCTTCATGTTCCATCGTCCGGGTGTGCCCCGCCACGCACTGCGCTCCGCCGGCGGCGTCGGTGCGCAGCTCACTGTGCCTCTCGCTCTTCTCTCGCGCGCAGGAAGATCCCTCCCGCGGCCGACAGCCCGGTGCCCGTGCCCGTGCCCGCGCCCGCAGCCCACATCGCCGCCCCGGTGCCGGCCTCCGTGCTGCAGCCTTTCAGCAGCCCGGGCGCGGTGTTTCTTCCCTCGGCGCCCATCAGCTCGCGGCTCGCCTCCTCCTACATCATGACGTCCGCTATGCTCTCCAGCACGGCGTTCGTGACCGCGCCGGACCCCAGCGCCCTCATGCCCCACCCCGCGGCGTTCCCCCACATGGCGGCCACCCTCGGCGTCATGGACTCGACCTTCAAGGCCCCCTCCGCCCTGTCCCCAGTCCCAGCCGTCCTCCCGGCCCCCTCCCACAAGCCATCCAAAACCAAAACCAGCAAATCCTCAAAAGTCAAAGACCTGTGCGCCCGGGGCGACGAGTGTCCGAGTAACAAAAAGAGGAAGCCGCAGCCTTCGACTTCCTCCTCCCCCGCCCCCTCCCCCCTGTCCTTGCGGACCTCCCTCCCGTCTCCGTTGTCAGGGCCCCACAAAAAGAACTGTGTGTTGAACTCCTACCAGGCGGGCCCCTGCTACGACCGCCTGCCCGTGCACAGCGCCAACAATGGGATGAGCCCACTCAGTGCCAAACTGGAGCCCTCAGGACGGACCTTGCTGCCCGGCGGCCCCGTGGACTCTGCGAGACACGTGGGCACGGTGGACGGCGGCCTTGGCCCCTGTCCCCTCTCCGTGCCCTCCCTCGCGCTCCACGCAGGGGACCTCTCTCTGGCCTCACACAATGCCGTGTCTTCTCTGCCCCTCTCTTTTGACAAGTCAGAAGGAAAAAAGCGTAAGAACTCCAGTTCTAGTAGCAAAGCCTGTAAAATCACAAAAATGCCTGGTATGAACAGCGTCCACAGAAAGAACCCACCCAGCCTTCTTGCACCCGTGCCCGAGCCCGTTAACAGCACCTCCTCTCGGCAGGTAAGGGACCCAGCCTTCCAGGGGCCCACCGGCGCCGCCCTCCTCGGGGCTGGGGGCTGGGGCAGCGGCTGCCCTTGCGTGGTCCAGTGGCTCATCATAACCTTGACTGCTATAACCGTTGTCCCCAAAGGCAGTAGCCACCCTCTGCTCTGAGAGTTTACAGAACAGATAATTTCTCTGGATTTTGTTATGTACATGGCACCGTTCGAAATCTTAACTCCTTTATTCTGCACCTCACCAAGTTTGCAGATGGGGTAAACTGAGGAACGCAGTACCCCCCCCCCACTTCGGTTCTGTATCTGGTTGGGTTTCTGAGGCTGGTTTTAGTAGAGCGTCCTGAGCCCCAGTGGCATACTGGCACAACCACAAGGTCAGTACCCCCAAACCGCTGGCTTCTCATTCCGCAGGAGAAAGAGGGTCCGTTCTCTTCCTGTCCAGAGCTACTCTCTCAGAGACCCACGGACGCAGTTCTAGTCTGCCCTATATAGGTTGGCTGGACGGCAGTGAGCAAGTGGTTAAAAGGGTTATCTGATCCCCTTAGGGTAGCCTTTAGAGGAGCCTGAGGCCCCTGGCGGGTAAAATGATGAGAAGTGAGACAAAGCCCCCACATGACCCATGCCAGTTGGCAAAAGAGAGTTCAGTGACAGTGCCCAGATGTGAGTGCGTATGGGGAGGAAAGCTGAGGGTAGGTGAGTGGTGGGACCCCAGAAGGGTGCCTGCCCCATATCCTGGAGTGCCAGTCAAGCCCAGGCTTCCTCCTTGGGCTGGGGAGAGCCCACGTGGGGTGCTCGGCCCATGTGAGCAGCTGGGGAGCACGCAGGTTGTGAGGGGCTGGCCCGGCTCTCCTCAGAGGAGGGAGCACGCTGCCCATGCAGCCACAGCTCCCACAGGCCGAGCCCCCAGCCCTATCTAGGGATGAAGACTGGGAGGAAACCGTTGCCCTGTCAGTGGCACTGTTGAGGAGAGTCCTCAAGACCTGACCATAGGAGCATCTGGCGGGGACCCGTAAATCCCCAGTAAACACCCCAGCAGCTACAGGTCGGGCAAACAGGAAGAAGGGAAACGCAGGCCCACCTGCCTGGGCACAGTCCCTCCGCTCTGAGTCCCAGGTCCAGAGGCCAGGGTGGGACCAGTACCCACCAGGCCCCACCCTGCATCTCTGACAGGCTCTCAGATGCAACCACAATTTGAGCAGTGATGAAGTGAGCAAGCCAGTGGAGATCAAACTGCACACACCTAACACTCAGGTGACGGATCTGGCCCAAGCACTTCAGATACATAAAGTGGGTGACTAACTGCCTACCGCTGTGTGCTGCCCGGTCGGACTTATGGCGACCCCACCCCCACAGGACATTGTCAAGCTGCCCCCGAGACTTTTCAAGTCAGGTGCCTTTACAGGCACACACCGCCAGATTTTTCTCCCTCGGAGCTGTTTAAACCCCCTTGAAGGGGCTTCAACTGCCACTAGCCATTCCACCACCAGGGCTCCTGCAAGTCCTCATTGTCCCCATTTGGGGCGGAGACAGCACACACAGCTAACCACCCCCACCACCCATTTTACAGATGAGCAAACCAAGGCACAGGATAGTTACGCAGTGTGCCTCCCCACAAATCGCACCACTCTCAGATCTGGGGCTTCAGCCCAGGCACAATGACTCTGGAGTCTGTGCCTTGGTGCTGAGCACGCCCTGCTTGGCTAATCGATGGGTCAGGAGCAGAGGACGTGCACAGTAAGCATGGCGATTCCGCCAGAACCAGAGACAAGGTCTTGTCGGCTTCGGGTCTCAAACTCGGGCAGTACCTGCTGCCTGTCATCGGGCCGGCGAGTTCCAGGTGTGGAGGGAAGCCTCTGGGATCCAGACTGGTTCTCTTAGGACACGAGGCGGGAAAAGCTAAGACCAGTAGGTGCTCTGGGGACAAATTGGGGACCCATTTGAGGATGTCTGGGAAACAAAGCCAGAATTTGCTGCCCAAACCAAAACTCGGGATATAAGGCTGGCACCTGCAGACACTGGAAACCTACGTAGTGGACAGGCTCTTGCTGGACCATCAGAATGGCCTCTGCAAACTGCTTAAGGTACGGAGTGGAAGGGCACCGGGCAGGGCTGTCCTTGCCTCCAGCCCATCCCCAGAGGAAGGCAGTGAGCCCAGTACTGTGACTCTCAGGCCGCACCTCAGGCAAAGCTCCCTCCTCCCCCAGCACCCAGAAGGGAGGACGACAGTATCTGGCTGTTCTCCTGCAGGCTGTGAGCGGGGCCTCCTGGCAGGGAAACCAGACCCAGAAGAAAACCCAGCCTTGGTACTAGGTCCCATGGGGTCTGAGCTAGAAACAGGATGGACCTGGGACTGGAGGGCAGAGATGTCGCCCCAGCTCCTCCGTCTGAGGACTGACTTCCCTGGTGTCTTTCAGATTGGGAAAAATAGCAGCCTAGCTTTGTCACAATCCAGTCCTTCAAGCATTTCCAGCCCAGGACACAACCGACAGGTAAGCTCCCGGGGGCAAGGGGGCAGAGCAGGTGGGCATTGGGTCAGACCCTGCTGCTTCAGTTGGGTATTCTAGTTAACAGTTTGGACTCTGGAGTCAGGCTCTCTGGCTTCCAAACATAGGCTTTCCTTCCTACTCCTTAGCTGTGTGACATTGAGCAAACCACTTAACCTCTCTGTGCTTGTTTCTTTATCTATAAAATGGGAATCATGACTGAACCCCCCCCCACACACACACACCCCACATGGTTCTTCTGAGGATCCAATTCATTTATTCACATAAAACATCGAGAAAATACCAGCACATACTGTGTGCACACAAACTGTTGGTTGTTGTTATTATTATTATTATTATTATTATTATTATGAGCCATGGTGACTGGAGAAAGAGGGGGCTTTCTGCTCCCGCAAACAAGTTACAGCCCTGAAAAGTCACGGGGCAGTTCTACACTGCCATATAGAATTGCTATGAGTCGGCATCGACTAGATAGCAGTGAGTTTGTTTTTCACATTATTATTATGATTATTTCCAACTATACAATCTTCGTTGAGGAACCTGGGTGCTTTGAACCCACCAACCACTCCCTGGGAGAGAGCGGTGGAAGTCTGCTACCATGAAGTCTTACAGCTCAGACACCTCCTGCTCTGCTTTGCCCTCTACAGTCACTGGGAGTTGGAACTGACTCACAGCATGAAGTTTTCCAGTTCACATGAACTTGGGTACATCCCTTCCCAGAGATGTGCTTTTCCCATCTGTTAATAGCACAGCTGCTGCCTCCCTGCCATGGCTATTGTAAAAATTACAAGAGATGCCCCCTGGCGGGTATTCTCCATGGCAGCTGCCCCTCAGGGCTTCCCCAAAGGCCCCCTGTGTGCAGAAGCTCCCTTTCCACTATCGGGGTGGGAATATGAGGAGACTACAGAGTTACCTACACTTGAGATGGAAGGGCCGTCACTGTACCAGGGCAGGGAGTGGCATAGGGCGTGGGGGGGTGGCATGCATGTTATATGTATGTGGCCATGTTGTTAGGCTGCCTCAGACGTGCCTTATGTTCTGGAGACACCAGATTGGAACGTGTTAGCCTTTTGCGCTTTGGGGATTGCCTACAGCTCTAGGCTCGAACTTGGGTGACGATGATGAGATGACAGTTTTGCATCAGGAGCTCGTGGATAAAGCGGGGGTCTACCCCCTGCTGAGTCACTGTGCCTGTTTTGCTGGGGCCAGGCGGGAGGCGTGTTTGCATTCAGGCACCTGGCTCTTATTTATGGCGGAACCCTGCAGCGCTCCCTGAATCCAGCTGGAGGCACCCTCTCGCCCTCACCAGGCCTGGTGTGTGCCCACAGCACCCTGTATACCTGCCCAGATCCCCACATGCCAGCCATCAGCCTTACCACAGGCAGCAGATGTGATAGTAACAATAGCTGTGCCCTGCCTGCTGTGCTAGTCTCCCCATGCATCACCTCAGTAAAACCTTTGGCCCCTCTGAAGCCAAAGTGATTGTTCACAATTCAGAGATGAGGGTGGCTGGACTAAGAGAGGCCAAGTGCCCTGAGCCCAAAGCCTCTATGGCCATAGCCCCTCTGCTTAGCATGAGAGTCCATACCCCCCCCCACCCCAACTGGGACAGTTCCCCTTGCCATCCACAGGTCATGTAGGAACGAGAAAGGAATCACGTGACCTCAGCACCCTTAGACATACAGTGTGCTTCGCACTGCTACCCCCTTTGCCCAGGGCAGCTGCCCGGTGCCGTGTCCAGGAGGCTGTTGTTATAGGTGGGCACACTGCGGTCCAGGTCATGAACCCTTGTGGTGGGCAATCCCCAAGGTACGGTTCTGAAAGAAGCTTTTCTTTTCTCTCCTAGAAGACCACAAACAGAACGAGCAGGATAAGGACTCTCCCGTAGGGAGACTGCAAAGAAGCCACTTCTAAACCAATCCCTGGCCACCTGCACCCACCTGGAGGCCTTGGCGAAGGGTGGGGGTCGGGGGTGGGGAGAGGCCACATCCTGTGCCCTGCCTGTGGCTCTGGCCTTTCTTCTTCTTCTTTTTTTTTTTTATAAAAATTGACCAATTTGTTGTTGTTGTTGTTTTAGTTTTGAACAAAAAGGGGGGGAGGCAAAAAAAACACGTGAATTTGAGATTTACAGAAAAACAATAACAGCGTTTTGTTTCCATTGCCTTTCCTTTCATTTGCCACCAGTTAATCATTCTTCCAGTTTTTTGGGGGGTCACCCCTCCATCTCCCTTTGCTGCTGCTGCCCCCTCGCTCTGCTTCAGCCATCGAGGGCAGACAGGATAGTGTGTCAGTGCCAGGCGGCCATCACCTGGAAATCTCACACTTTCGTTCCTCAGCCTCTGCCAACAGGGTGCTGGTGCCAGGGCCCCGGCCCGGGGTGCAGACAGATTGGGTGGGGTGCCCACAGCAGGTTCCTGTGGCCCATGTATTATGAGCGAAGTGGAGAAGAGCAACCAGTGACTGAGAGCTTGCTGTATACTGCCATGCAGCTTCAAAGGAGAGATTGGGGCAGGGGCTGGAATGGACCTTGGGGCGGGGGGTGACAGGAAGCCTAATGTAGGGGACCCCTCCAAAGATGGTGAGAGCCAGGTGATTGTTAGGAATCCACACGGGAAGCCCTTCCCAGGCCCCAGTGCACAAAATCCCACAGCTGAACCAGCAGGGAGGAGGCTCAGGAGATGGCTGCACGAGGTGCCACCAGGAGGCTGCCCAGGAGGACACTGCAGGTCTCCAGCTGCCCTCCAGGGCCAGACAAAGAGGAGCAGGAGGGGAGGCACCCAGGGAGGACTCTTCTAGAAGGTGGGGTGGTGTGTCCAACCCCTGTGAGAATCAAGACTAGCATTTCCCACCAACCTCCTTGGTTGGGTCACAGGGGCCCCCAGGATCAGCACCCCCATAGATCAGCTTACCCTCATCATCGGATGCTCCAGACCAGATGCAGCCCCTAGAAGAAGGTGGAGAGACCCCGCAGCGATCACACTGGAGTTTGGAAAGAAAGCATTGCAGTCCCAGGAGCTCCTAACCAGGAAAGGATTCCCACTATAAAACAGGTTCTACACTGCTCACCCAGAGTCCTGGGAGGCACTGTGGATAAACACGCATCTGCTACCCAACTGGTCAGGGGTTCACACCCACCTGCCGCTCCTCAGGAGACCAGAGGGGCAGTCTGCTTTAGTGAAGGTGACAGCCTTGGACCTCCCATAAGGCAGTTCTACTCTGTCCTATCTGGCCACGAGAAGTCAGAATCAATTCAGTAGCTACTAATCACGCACCTTGGCACACGTGACCCAGCTCACGTTGTTTAAATTAACAGCGCTACCCACAAGAGGTTTTGTTTCATGAGAAATGAGTGCCACCTTTGCAACTGGGCACAGCCCCACCCCCCCTGAAGTATTTCTTTTCTTTCCCAACCCAAAGATCAGACGACTGTTGAGTTTCATCATGTTTGAAATTCACTGGAATTTGCAAAGACAGGAGACAGATGGAGTGGTTTGCATCAATGGAATTGCACTGATAGGACTACTAAACTTTTTAATATAAAATGAAGATTTTTTTTTTTAATCAGGAGTTGATATTAGGTACCAGGACATGCGTTCCAATTTCACTTTTATTTCTACAGTGTTAAAAGTGCACTTATATGCTGGTTTATTTACGTCTTAGGGAAAAGACTGCAAATTGAAGGGAAGATTGTAACTTTCTTTTTAAAATACAAAAAGTTAAGGCAGATTTTAAGACTTATAAATGTTTAAGAAATTATAAACAAGGTTAGACCCTTTGGGAAAAAATTTAGAAGCTATTCTTAAAGTAAATTTTTATAGTGTTAATTTTGTAATAATTTATGTTTTACTATATTACAGAGCTAACTGACCATAATAGTTTCAAGAACAATATGAAACTTAGGAAAGTTGAAGCAATGTTTCTATTTTTAAAATGTTCTTTGAATTGTTTTTATTGTACATTTCTTCAGACTGAAAACTATGTACATATCTTGGTTATTTTTGCACAATTTTGGTCTTGTTCGGTTTTAGCGGTCTGTTTTTTATAATTTATTTTGAGTTTTAAAACTTACAGGAGTAAAACAAACAAACAAAAATCTCAGCAACAAATAACCCTCTGACTTATAAACTCTTTATACCGGAAGAGGGAAAACCAAGGTTGTGAGATTACATGGCTGCTTCTGAGAAATTACGTCTCAAGGGGGACTCACGGAGCCATTCATTTGCTTCGAACGTTTGCGCGCTCTGCACGCTTGTCTTGAATTGGAAGCTGGAAGAAGAGGCTCCCCCACCGAATGCTGCTTTACATTGTGAAAGACTGGCTTGGACCAAGGTGATGACAGTTCTGGAAAACTGAGCAAAAAAAAAGGGAAACCCCATGGTATTTCTTCCTCCATTGTCACCCACAGGTTTACTTTAGAATGATGTATTGAAAACTTGCAGCTTGAAAAGTGAAATGCAAATAAAAGGCTTTGTTTTGGTTTGTTTCCATGGAGCTAAACTCGACCAGCCTAAACAGCATTAGTAGTGTGATAGGTTTTGGGTACTTCTGTCCTGTACAACCCACTCAGCCCCTCTCTCCCAGCCCCACCCCCAACGGCTCACCCCCTACTTGCCTGGGGATCTGGTGACTTGTCTGCAGCCTCAGAGGCCCCGAAGCGCTGGTTGTTCCACATCCCGCAATGCAAAGACCTGCCAGCCATAGAAAAAGGAAAAGAAAAGCGACTTGGATAACGTGTATGCCTTCTTTTGTATCAATGTACCAGTTGTAAATAACGCTGATCGACCTTTGTAGAGAATAGTTTATACAGCATATTCTATTACTGCGGATTCTCAGTGAACTCTTGTTTTAAAAAAAAAGGAGAAAAAGAAATTTTCTATTTACACCTTCTATTTTGTTATGCTGTCGGCCCACGGCACTTTAACAAAACTCTGTGGGTTTTCCGTAAGCTGGTCAGTCATGGGGTATATTCAATAACTCTTGTTGCACAGACGAGAATTTGCACCTGCTCAATTGTCCTTTCCTACTACCGATTTTAGAAACTTTTTCGAGAATTTTGAAGAAAGCATGTCCAATCATTCTAAACAAATGCCACACTTGCGGAAGCAGGTTACTTTTCTACGACCCACCTTTTGTAAACACTAAGTATTTTCCTTCTTTGTCCCGCACCTTTATGTATTAGCGCCGTCAGATAGTCCATTCCATGCCTGTGATGAGGTAAGCAGAATCAATGTCTAAAATAGGTGTAAATAGTTAATTCTGTGGCTTACAGTTTTACAAAGGAAAGAACAAACATGTATCAATTGATACTGCCATGGTTCACCAGGCCTGGGGACATTCTCCAGTTAGCAGACTGTTTAGTTTTGGTTTGGTTTGGTTTTGCTCTTTTGTTTTTCGTAACATGGCTTTGTAAATAAAATAATTTATATGTTTGTAAAACAGTCTTCTGGTTTTTATCAAATTCAGGCTTTGGGGCATTGTGAAGCTTTTGTTTTCTTTGGGGTTCAGGTGTTCTTACTAAAAGTCTTCCTTTTGAGGTAGGGCCGACAGCAGCAGAAATGAGTGCATTCAATACGCATGCGCTCTCTCCGTGCCTGCCCCTGAGCCAGGCCCTCGTTGCTCAATGATGGGAAACAGACACAATCCCAGCTGCTCTCCGTAAGGAACCCAGGGGGGAAACAGGAAGTAAGTAGACACAATCAAACGGGTAGTTACAGATTGTGGCAAATGCTATGGTGGAAAGGATGGAGTTCTGTGAGCGGGAGAAATAACAGGAGACACCGGAAGGGAGTCTGATTGGCCAGGTGGCCAGACTAAGGACAGCTGGGTCCGTTCTTGGAGCCTCCAGAAGGTCTATTTGGGATGGAGTGGGACTAGAGAGGTGGACAGAAGGCAAGGTAAGAAAGAAGGTCTTATAGAGTAAGGATGTTGTGTTAAATTCTCGGGAATCCTTTCAAGGGCTTTCACGAAGGGTATGGCATGATCTGATTGATCTTAAAAAGTCCACTCGAGCTGCTAGGCAGAGAACCAGCTGTAAGTGATTGCAAGAGGCCAGAGAGTGGTGCTGATGACGTCACCGGGGAGGATGCTCGGTGATAGGAAGAGCAGTGAATGGAGTCAAGATAGATTTTAGATTCTGGCAAGGTTTGCTAGTGAACTGGATGGAAGACGAAGAGAATGGCTCCCAGGTCTGTTTAATCATTTGTGTTGAGTCGAGATGCTAGTTCTCCAGATAAAACCAGAGGAAGAACAGGTGGGGGTGGGGGGAGGGAGGAGGCAGGGGGGAAGTTGGCGAACAGGAGAATTCTGTTTTGCTCATGGATGAGGTTACTGTGAAACCCCAAGCTACTGTGTCAAGGTGGCAGGGCACACACATGGGGAGGTCTAGGTTGGAAGCAACGTTGAGGAAATTTCTAGTGTGTGGTTAGTATGTCGAGCTGTGATTAGGGCTGTGAAATGCAGAGGGAGAAGAGCAGGTGTGTAGAAGTTGAGCAGAAATAGAACCACTGGCAAGGAACCCTAAGATGAAGTCTTTACAAAGAAATCCAACAGAAGGTGCCCTGAAAGCCAGGACTCTAAGGTGCTTCAAGAAAGGAGCGGAGTTGAGTACTGCCACAAAGTGAAAAGTAGAGGCGACCCTGCGTCTGCAGGGCTGCAGTGTGGGGGTCATGTGGGCAGCCTGCGGCTGCCGTACAACTTACACAACTTCATGGCTTAAAAATGTATTCTGTCAGAGCTCTGGAGACCAGAGGGCCAAATTCAAGGCTGTTGAGCCTGATAGCTGCGTTTCTTCTTGGAAGCTAGAGGAGTTTGGGGCTGGTTGGTTTTGGGGCTCTTGCAGCTCCGTGCCTGCTGGCAGTCCTTGGTGTTCCTGACCCGTCCACATTCAAGTTTCTGCCTCCATCTTCACACGGCCTTGTCCTCCATTTCGCCAGGATCTTTCTCTCACAAAGACACTTGTCACTGGATTTAAGGCCCACACTACATCCAGGATGATTTCATCTTGAAATCGTTTACTTAATTGTACCAGCAAAAAACAAAGCAAAAAAACCTCTTAAAAATAAGGTCACGTTCACAGGTTAGGGGATTATGATTTGGATAGTTTAACACCCCTCCCCCCCAAATTAAGCCCATTGCTGTCAAGTCAATTCTGACTCATAAAGACCCTACAAGACAGTATAGGACTGGCTGGGCTGTCGTCTTTCCAGGGCTGGATGCTTTATGGGACCATTTCTCTCCAGATAAGTGGCTGCTGGGTTCAAACTGCCAACCTTTTCATTAGCAGCCAACTATTGAACCAGTGCAACACCAGGGAGCCTTTGGCCATATTTTCAAACCCGCTGCTCTGCCGTCAAGTCAATTCCATCTCACAGCGACCCTACTGAACAGAGCAGAGCTGCTCCATAGGGTTTCTGAGACCAAATCTTTATAGGGGCAGGCAGCCTCAGCTTCCTACTGTGGAACACCTGGTGGGCTTGAACCAGAGTCTGAAATTAGCCACCAAGGCCTAATCCACTGCTACTAGGGGTACTTTTCCACCTACTACAATGAATTTAGCAAAACAGGGGTAAAAGATTGGGGGTTGGGGAAAACCCAAAGCAGCTGGAGTTGTTTGAAAGGTGAAAGAGCTGAGCAAAGGAATTTAGTGTGTGTAAATAAATCTTACAACAGTTAGAACTGTGGTTCTAATGCGGCGACCCTTTCACACAGTTCCTCATATTGTGGTGAACCACCCCCCCACCATAAAATTATTTTCGTTGCTACTTCATCACTGTGATTTTGCTACTGTTATGAATCGGGCAACCCCTGTGAAAGGGTCGTTCGACCCCCAAAGGAGTCGCCACCCACAGGTTGAGAACCTCTGGGTTAGAAGCACATGCAGACTCAAGGGGGTCTCTGAGGTTGGTTACTGTTGGCTGTTCCTGGAGGAATGACTTCATTACAACTCGCGTGCTGGTGAGACTGTTCAATAACGAGGGCGTTAGGTAGCTAGAGGCAGAACTAGGGGTTGTCCCTTACATGCCAAAACCTCCCTCCTGCCTTACAGGAAGTTGGAAGCTGCTTAAGGCTAGAGGGCAAGTTCACATTCAGGTCTATGAGACAAGGAGCCAGGACACCTGGGTGGGCCCCAGTCTGGGCCAGGTGAGCTTAATTCAGCCAGTGGGGTCAACCAGTACCGTCCACCACGCCTCCTAGCAGGGGCCCCTGAAGAGCCAAATTCAGGAGCCCACCACCTTCTTTTCCAGTTGCTCCTTGGCACTCTGGCTTCAGGACTCCATGTGGGGACTGAAGTGCCCTGAGGGTGCTTGTGTAAAACCTGAAACTCCTTCTATCCTTTATAAAAACTTGCTTGGACCACAAACAAGGCTTCCCTGTGAATTCTTTTTCCTGCTGAAGCCAAGTATTTCTAACCCGAGAACCCTAACAAAGGGAATGTTGAAGAAGGGGAAGGGCTGTCCAGTTGCCTGTGGAGGTGTTGACCATCACAGGAAGAGAGACGATTCCTCCTGGGTATTCTAGGGGAAAATTTGCTTGTAGGTTTGCTACTAGGAAGATGAGGACATCTTCCATCGGGTGGTTTCCATGTTCTCACTCAAGCTGAGCCTGCATGAGAGTATGAAGATGTTTGAGGAGTGGAAAGAATGACATCATCCATAAAGAAAAGAGTCTGTCGGATGCTGTCAAGAGCACGTTTGAGACTCCTGGTCAAGGAAAATTCTAGAGTGGAATACAATGGGCTTCCAGAGTGATTTGAAGACACCAAAATCTGAGAAAGGCCCCTTGGGGTCTAGGGGCTAGGGGAGACTGAGGCAAATTTCTCATCATTCAACCCACGTGCATATTTTCATTACTGTGGAGTGTAGGGAACCAGAGGAGGCAGATGTGCAGCTTGCTACATAGTGGGCCCTTTGAATAACTTCGTAAAATAGGATCTCCCACAGTCACAACTGTCAGTATGGTGCTTCAAGTGCCAAGGAAGGTCCTCTTTCAGCTGTTAGTGCTCTGAGCGCTTGGTACATGATGGGCTGCCCACCACTGTAGTGATCTGGGCCACTTCTAGATCCATTTCACCAAAAAAGTGGGGAGGGGGGGGAGGCAAAACCCCTTGCCAGCTAGTCAGTTCTGATTCATCGGGGTGGGGGACCTATGAGTAAAGTGACCAGATTTTAACATTGGTAAAGCGGGACACCATTGACCGGGGGTGGGGGTGGGGGTGGGGATTCTTGATTAAAAATTTGGTTCTCCTGCCGTTCCCTAGCTTGTCGTGCATTCTTTCCAAAAATTGGGACTTTTTAAAACGCCACAGGACACGGGACAAATTGTTGAAAATCAGGACTGTTCCGCCAAAAGCAGGACGTCTGGTCACTTTACCTATGAGACAGAACAGAACTGCCCGTAGAGCTTCCAAGTCTGCAAATCTTTACAAAATCCGACTGTCACAAAGATGAGCTGACTGTCGAGGGCCTCTGGATGCTTCTAGTTAGCACATTTTCCAGGGACAGCAGAGATTCAAGGCCATGACCACCTGAGATACGTTGTGGGGGAAAAAAGCCCAAGTAGACCATGTTGTTTTGGCAGAAACCAATCGGCAGCTTGGAGAGAGGTCAATGGAACCCACGGTGCTCTCGGCCTGACTCCACTAGCGCAGGAAAGTGGGCACTTGGAATTTCAGTGTCGGTTGAAGTTCTAGAGCCTGCAGAGCAAACCTCTTTCTTCCTTAACTAATTCCTTGCTGACCGGAGATGAAGGAAGTTCTCCAGGAGAACAACTGTCGCCTCCTGGAGCATGGAAAGCACAGAAATCACTCCATCAACAGAAGAGATGCTCAGGTCACCCTCCTTTAAGAAGGAGCAGTGCTGTTTTGTTCTCAGCACACACACAGTTTCAGACCCAGAAATGCAAAACAGACCATTCTGTGGGCTGTGACCTGTGGACTGCTTCTCAAAGCCACTGTCCTTCTCAGAGGTCTCTCTCTAGTCTGGATGCCGCTGCCATTGGCTGGTCCACACTATACAGACCCCAAAGCAGGGCCAGAGTCACGTCCCATCTTTGGCCCACTCAAAGGGTTAAGTATTTAGGTGGCCTGAATTCAGAACTCACTGCTGTCAAAAGTCCATTCTGACTCATAGAAAGAGGTACATATTCTATGCCTTGTCCCTTCACCCAAGAAACAAACAACAAACTTCCAAAGGCCTGGCTTAAACAACAGGGGGAAATTACACCCTACGCATGTCAGTAGTTTTTCAAATCTCCCCAGAAGCCATCAGAAGCAGGAGTCCTAGTTGGTCCTGGGGACCACAGGCACCTGCTTTTGTCAGTCACTTAGTTTGCCCTTTCCCTTCCCTGCTTCACCAAAACCGAACTCGCTGCCATCGAGTTGATGCAGACTATAGAACAGGGTAGAACTGCCCCCTGTGAGTTTCTGAAGCTGTAACTCTTTAGGGGACTAGCGAGCAAAAAACCAAACTTACTGCCATTGAATCAATGCTGACTCATAGTGACCCTCTGTGGGTTCCTGAAACAGTGTTTATGGGAATAGAAAGCCTTCTTTCTCCCCTGGAGCTACTGGTGGTTTTGAACTTCGGACCTTGCAGATCACAGCTCAACACATAACCACACCACTATGTTACTGAAATAGAGAATATGCCAAAACAAAAAAATCTGTTGACGAACCCACTGCAGGACAGAGTAGAAGAGCCCCCGTTCCACAGACGTGATTTTCAGGGAAGCCGACTGGCTTATCTTTCTCCCTCAGTCATTGGTGGGCTTGAACCTTTCAGTTAGCAGCACTGCACCAGTAAAAGGCCAAAACCCATTTGCAGAGTCCCCACATAGAATTTCTTCTGCTACTGACCAGGGAGGTGCAGTTTGCCCATAGCCAAAGTGCCTTGGGAAGGGGACTATCCTCAATAGTCTCCAGTCAGCCCAGGGAGAGGCCGGACGGACGTCTCCCTTAGTGGTAGTGTTAGGTAGGCCAGCATAGGGCTGGGGGATGTCTATTAACACGTGCCCAGAGGGCCAAGCTAGGGAAACAAACATGCGCACCGCACATGTTCAGGGTTCCAGCCGGTAGGCAGGGGTGGGCGTGAACTTGAATTGGCTCACCTAGCCAGGTGAATTCAATTCAGCCAATAGGGTCGATCAGGGGTCTTCCACCACGCCTCCCTGTGGAATCCTTGAAAAGGCAGAAGCCCAGAGACGGGAGAGAGAACTTAGGTGCAGGGAGCTTTGGGACGCATTGCAGGACGCTGAGCTGCTTCCAGCTAGGCCGCATGTCCGGGAGGAGCCCCTTGGGTGCCGTGTAAACCGGAAACTTCTTCTAACCCTCATAAAACTCACTTTGATCACGAACCCGACTTCGGCGAGAATTCTTTCTCTTGCGGAGCCAAGGACCGAGGTATAAATCTAGCTCCAGAGAGATCTAACAGTAGTCATGCCCTGCCTTGGTCAGAAGGCCCTGGGTCAATTTTGTAAGCCCTTCTAACGTAAGTGTCCCAATTAGGGTCCCATTCCTGCTTCTATCGTGCTACTTGTAACTGATGTATCCATCTGCCGCCAATCATGCATATGTGCATTTCCTTTGCCCTCCCATGCCCTTTTACAATCCATCTCAGCAAAACACTTGGAGGCCATGATGACCACTTGTAAATGGTCTCCCTCATCCAGATGATGCAGCTGTGTCTTTGTCCTGCTAAAGAGTTAATAAATGCTCTCCTTAAATTATATTTGAGATTTGGGATCTTCACCCTAAACCACTGCTTAGGGGCTCCCCCTGGTCACTCATCCTGTGATTTCAGCAAGTGAGGTCTCATTCACTGGAACCACACGAACTGTGCCCAACACGCACCCACTCCACACTGACTTAGGGGATAAAACCCCAAGTAAAAGCCGTCCTCAATTTAGCGCTCCCCGCCGCGGGATGTTGACGTCATACGTACGCGACGGGCGGGAGAGTGGGCGGGGCTCCGCCAGAGGCGCGCGAAGGGCGGCGGGAAGGCTTGGTCGCTTAGCAACGGTCCCAAGCGGAGCCATGGAGTCAGGCCACAGCAGAGAACGAGAGGCTAAGGAGTATTTGGAAAAACATAAAATCATGGAGTTGCTGACCTTGCTCACCAGTACACTGCTCTTTTTCCGGCCTGGTAAGGGTCTCGCCTACCGCTCGGTTCTGGGTCCCCCCTGCCTTCCCTACGCGCGCGCCCAGTCCGCCGGCCTCGCAGGCTCCCGCC